GACAAAAACAAAAAAAAAGATTAAAACCCCCCCAACTTTCAAAATGGCATTCTAACTATTATATTTCGGTCTTCACCACCAGAGGAAGAACACCTGCAGCTGAAAGCAAATCTTTTGTTTTGGTGTAACAGCTAGTGGCGATAAGTAGCCATCCTCAGGTAGGATGTGATCAGCCTGGCTCTCTCTGAGGTCAGTAAGGGAGCAGAAAATGCCACGTCCCTGAAGAAGTCAATTCCCCGATGACAGCTAGCAGAGGTGGTTCCAGGGCTGTTCTTAGCAGAACTTCTAGAAAACTAGTGGTTGATGGACTTTGTATTGCAAATTCTTTGTTTTCCCACATCTCCCTGTCCAGGCTTGGCTTAGTAAAGACATGCACACCAAAATAAGTCCCCTCTCAGACCTGTGTGCACTGCATATTCAGCACTTGTTTAGTGAACAGAATTCCCCTGGCATCAGGAGAAATTTTAGCACAGAATGAGCCTGGAGCTCCATAAGCATCAAAAGAGAAACACAGTAGGTAACCAAGGTGAAAAATCTAATCTTCACATCTCTCTTATCCATGCGGTGAAAGAATTTATGATAAACTGGGTTAAAAAATACCTTGTAAAATATTAACGAGTGCAGATGCTCCTCCTAATAGCTTTTGAACGCGTCTGCCAAATTCAACCTTGACAGAGAGATCGTGGTTTAGTGATGAATTTTGTGTGAAGAGGCAGTGTGCAGAAGAGATTGTTGGCATTCTCACTGGCACTGAAGGGCTCCAGCTTTAGCCCAGATGCTATTAAAAACTAGACAATCCACATAAACAACGTAGTCTGTGAACACTCAAAATGTGTGAAAGTTTCATCCAGAGCTCAGGCAAAAGAAACTGCTCTTTTGTCAATGCTTCTCCCCCATGTATGAGTTCTCTGATGTCCAATACAAGATGAACTCATCCTGCAGCCTTGGTTTCACTGAAGTGAGAATCACAGGTCACCCGCCCAAGGAAACCAGGCTGCACAGTTTTGGGGCCTCTGAAATTACTTGTCTTATTCTCCCACAGCCAGCAGTGTGACAGACTCTTCTTTTCCAATACTGTGTGCTTGATCATGTTGTCTCACTAAGCAAAACATTAGTATATAATGACGGGGGGGGGGCGGTTACCTGAACATGAATCCCAGGACATGGTCCTGTAATTGTTTTTAGAACATTTAAATGACACTGGAGTCTTTCTCCCTCGTGTTTCAGTATCTCAACTTCAGAAACCCTGTAAACATTCAGAGTGGTTTCTAGCAGATCAACTTCTAACAGTAGTCCTAGTCAATGGGCAGTAATAAGCAGAGCAGTGGTTTTCAAGTGGGGTTAGAGGTGCGTCCACATGTCAGTGTTTAGCTTTAGATTGGAATGTTTAGTGGCATTGGATTCAGATTTTGGGTTGTCCCGTTAGATCTATGGGATCCAACATGAAACCTGGAGCTAGACTCCAAGCGTTTAGGAATTGAAACCTGGGAATTTGATGTTAACTGGACCTAAGATGTGTTACCAGTGACGGAAGTTTCGCTGTTGCTTTTAAAGTATGGGTATTTCAAGGTCTAGTGGTCATTCTGTGGCATGCACGCAAACGGCCTAGAAGGAAAGTCTTTATTATAACCTTATGACTATAGTACAGCAATAGCCTAAAATGTGTTTTCTAATCCCAGGACAGGACCAACCTAAGTTACCTTTCTGCAGGACCTAACCAAATTCATCAGCTGCTCCTCTGCTCTAAATAAGCCGTGATCTACTTCTGAGCTGTGAGGTAACCTGTTGCTTGCTTTGATTTTTAGTTCTCCCTGGCCTGCAGCTCAATATCAAAAACACCAAATAAGCCTCATCTAAAAGGGCCATACTTTTTACATGTGTCCCAGGGTTTAATTTCTGTTCCCACAGAAATCCACCAGTAAAACTCCTTCTCAAATAAACAGAAGCATAAGCAGACCCAAGAAATACCTCTCACGCCTCCACCCAACTTGCTGACTTAGCTTTCCATGCTGCAATTTTAAACAACTTACAAACTCCATTGACTTTCACGGACTTTGGACTGGTACCACTACAGAAATAAAAAATATCCATACACAGATTAATGTCTTTTGAAAAAAAAATATTTTTTTCTTAGATTGCACATTCAAAACTTGAGCTGCACACTGCATGGTATAGGAACAGTAGTTTGCCAATCCAATTACCACCACGTAGGTGTGTTTTAATTAGTTCGGCTGTAGCCCCAAGGTGTCAAACTCAGTCAGCAGCAGGAGATGGACCCCAGGTGTAATTACAGTCAGTGGCCAAGACACGTCTCCTGGGCCGTAAAATGTTCTCAGTCCACACTGGAAATGCCCCATCAGAGGGAGGTTTGGACAAAGCCTTCAGGTATCTTGCGGTAGACCTTTAGGGAAAAACTGCTGTTCCAGTTACAGACTGTGTCTGCTCATTCGTCCACCACATTTTGCCCTCTTTTCACTGTTTCCCAGCTCTCCCCATTTGCCCTCTGCTAAATGGATCGAGCAGTGAACTTTAACCACAGCGTGATGACGCAGGGAGCAAGAGCCCTCACATCCATGCTGGCAGGCTTTCTCTGCATCCCCAAAGGCTACAAACAAGGTGAAATGTTGGCTATGCTGGACTCACTGCAGGTTTTATCCCAACTCTAGTGCTGCCAGGGAGCAAGGAAGTTTTGTGCAGGCTGGATTTGGGCCACTGGGCATCTCATTTCTAGGTCTTTGCAGCTAGGACAGCACACATGGATCACTGTGGTACAAACAACACGTGAAGACAACCGTTTTTTTATCAAGGACCTTGTCCAGTGTTACAGCAGGATTGGTTTCAATGTTCAAACTGATTGCTGTTTTGAGGACGAGGGTGAGGGGACAGACTCCTAGCTGGAAACAGTAACATAGCTGGAAACAGTAACACAGCTACTAATATTTTTAGATTTTCGTGTTAATAAGTGCATTTCACCAATGGATATGTTTTGCTTTAATAACCACTCAAATAAATAAATAAATAAATAAAAATAAATAGTACTTTGTGCTTTGTTAGCATGATTTGTCCGAAGTCTTTGAAGCGTTCTGCCAAGCCGAGTGTTACTATTTCCACCAAGTCCCAGCAATCCCAAGAGCCTGACTCTGCTTCCCTTTATATCAATAGGAGCAAGCCCAGCCCCTGAGGACTTGCCTGGCGTTACACAGGGAGCCAATGATTGACAGAGCAAACATCGCTCAGGTGCCCTACTTTCATGCTGCCTGCCCTCAACAGCACCAATTGTACCGTGATTCAAAGAAGAGCAAGTTCCATCAAAATCAAAGAAAATCCCTACTCGCTTAATTTTCAACACTGTTTGTACAATGTCTCCAGCCTTGCAGGGTACCAGGTTGTGCTTGGTCTACTGTTGCTGTTGCTGTTCACTTAACACCTTCCTTAGAGAGGTTTTTTACCCGCTGTCACCTCCGAGGAAACTCTGGTAAGCAATCTATGCGTGCAGGACTGCATGCCTGTGCCATATGTCAACCTTCTTCTGGTTTTCTCTTCTGCTGTGTTTTTTGTCAGGGACATCCGCAAGGAAGCAAGATCCTGGCTGTTCTTGCTGCTTCTCCCCCACGTTCCAGGTCTGATGCCATCCAGGCGTCATGGATGATGGAACAGAGAGCTGGTGCTGCCCGGAGCCAGAAAAAAAACAGCAGAAAGTGCCTGGTTTGGATGCACGCTCATAACTGCAACCCAGCAGAGAGTAAACATGGAAACCTAGAGCAGAACGCTGTCTTACTTGAATGCTGTGCACGGGGCATAGGTAGGCTTTTCACATTTCCAGTGCATTAAGGGCAGAAGGACTCAGTTACCTCTAAATGGTACCGAGTTAGTTACAAAAAAGCCATGATCCTCATCTAAGAGAATCTGTCATGTACCTTATTTTGTGCATCTACTCTTTTTTATGCCCTCTATAAGAATACAACTGTTAGCACCAGTGGACAGGCAAATGCTGCCCTGCTCAGTAGACGATGATAAGAGCTGGGTGAATGTCTCATTGCAAGCAACTCACAGAACCTTTAGGTTGGAGAGGACCTATGGAGAACACCTGGTCCAACCTCCTGCTCAAGGCAGGACAAATTGGATAAGGTCGCCAAGGGTCTCCTCAAGTTTTGAGAACTCCCAAGGGTGGCAATTTCTCCATGCAATCTGTTTGCAGATTTCCATTTACAAATGGATCCGCATGTTTGCCACAAAGGTCAGTTTCCACAGGTTCATTCACGTATCTTAATGAACAAGTGGGTTGCGTGGGTGCCTGTCAGTTTGTAGACTGCCCACAAACTTCTCTCCTCTCTCCCCCTCCGAAAGAAAATAATAAATTGTACAAATGTTTGCAAGAGAAACTTGGAAAGGAGGAGGGGTGAGGATAAAACCAGGAAGGGCAACAGTTGCAAACGGCAAAAGCGAAATTGTATTTGTGAGCACTTCTAGCAGCTTCCGCCCAGCTCTGATCCTAACGTCTACTTACATGGTGTTACGAAGTCTTGATCTGTGCTTTCTCTAGCTCGGCACCAGCAGCGGGTGAGGGGCACCGAGGGGCATATGGCGTTCTCTACTCCAGCCCTCCTCACCTTCGGCATGGGAGTGCAGTGGCTTTGAAAATGCAGTCCCGTAACTTAAACCAAGCTGTCTGTCACTCAAGCCAGAATCAGCTGGAGTAGTTTTGGTTCTTAGTCAGTAGGCTCTAGCAGTCAGTAGTCTGTGTTGTCTGCGTTTCCAACTGAAAAGAGTGCAGTTGTAATCAGCTCCGCTGTAGACAATCAATTGGTAACTCACAGGCTTCAAGCAGACTTCTTTTGCAGCCCTCTCTGAGAAGATGCGTGTGCTTGTGGGGTAGAGGACACACAAACTCGCTTCCCCTCCGTAAAGATGACTGAGGTCAGTCCTTAAAACACACCCAGAACAAAAACATATTTTAAACAGTATGTGAAATAGCTGCCACATTTTTGTGCGGTACCCTGCTCCCCCAAAATAAGAAATTAGGGTGGTTGTCGGTTGTTGTTGCTTTTTAAATGTTAATGTGGAGGAGCTTTCTGATGCATCATGATGGACAACTAGTGATGTATCTCCACTCATCCATGACAAGGTCTTTCATTTCTTATTCAGGTGGGCATGCAGTTCTGCTTCCAAGGCCATCTTGTCAAAGGTGCGCATGTTCGTCTCCTCCCGTACCTTTTCCCGGACATGGAAGGATGCCCGAGCGACAGACCTGGCATTTTCCAAGACAGTCTTCTTCTCCTTGAAGATCTGCTCGCTCCTCTCCAGCTTCCTCTCTATAGAGAGGAGGATCTCCCTGCGCCGCAAGTCCTCGTACTGTTCCACCTTTTGCTTGTTCATCTTCTGCACTTTCTCCTTCTCCAGACGGCTCAGGACCACCTTGCGGGCTTTTTCTTGGACGGCCTCTTCGGCCACCTGGGCAGCATGCTGGAGCTTTCTCTCTGTCTCCCTGGCCAGGGCCTCCAAGTGCTCCTTCTGCTCTCTTTCCTTCTTCTCTGCTGCCAGTTTGGCTCTCTGGATCTGCATGTCCTCCCGCCTGGCCTTCTCCCTCAGCTCCTGGTTCCTCTTCTCCACTAGCTGCTCGTAGTTCTCCTGCGCCTTCGTCAAACTCATCTCCAGGGAGGCCTTCAGCATCTCCTTTTCTTCAGCCTCTTGCTTGGCCAGTTCCTTGAGCAAGGCCTCGTGCTTCAGCTTCTCTGCTTGGTTGAGCAGTTTCTTCTCCTTCTGCAGCTGCACCTCCTTCTTCAGCCTCTTCTGCGCGGCGGTGGAGAGCTTCTCTTGCAGGAGCTGCTCCTCTCGCTCCCGGTGCTCCTTCTTGCCCTCCTCCTTCGCCTTCAGGTTGTGCTCCTGATGGAGCTTCTTCTGCTTGTCCTCCTGGACGGCCCTCTCCAGCCTCTCCCTCCGCAGCCGCTCCTGCTTCTCCGCTTGCTCCCGCCACCTCTCCTCGCACACCAGGCGCTGCCTCTGCTTCAGCAGGGCGGCTTCCTCCTGCTCCTGGCTCAGCCTCCCGCGACGCTTCTCCACCTGGCTCTCCCACATGCGCTGGCCCTGCAGGAGGGCCCTCTGCTTCTCCTTCTCCTCCTGCTCCTTCCGCCGCTCCGCCAGGCGCCGCTGGCTGTCCCACTGCAGGTGGGCGGCCTGCCGCTGCTCCCGCAGCAGGCTGGCCTCCTGGTGCTTGGCGATCATCAGCGCCGCGATCTTCTTGTCCCTCTCGGGCACCTCGGAGAGGCCCTTCCTCCTCCTCACCTCCCTGACGATCCTCTCCACCCTCTGCGCCGTCTGCGGCGAGTGGCTGAGGTCGCCCAGGCTGAAGCTGCGCCCCAGCAGGGAGCC